CTGTCAAGATACTGGTTAACTCACTGTTTTCCCACCATTGATCACCTGCTCCAACTGGAATACCTGGATATATTCCTTTCTTTCATGTAACAGTTCTGCTTTTCTCTTTTCCTTGAGGCTGATTTCTTGCCCCTAAACTCTAATGCCATGTCTAGGCAAGTAACAGCTGTGAAAGGCAAAATATGATTTTTTTTTTTTTGATTACTGGTATCTTCACAAGTAGCCTGCCATTGTGTTTTGGCTGTAGGCTGCTAGGAAGCCTGGAATTCTGAAATAATCTGCCATCATACTTTCTCACTTCCCTGACAGAATATATACTTGGTGCCTGAATCCCTGATGCTGCCTGTCACAATTGCCGACTCTTAGATCTCATATTTGTTATTTGCTGAACTTGTTTCCATGTCTGTGCTAATCCTGATTTTGTTCCATTTCTACTTTAAAACAGTGAAAGTTCCTGCCTAATTAAGTTTTCCAGGTTTTACTACACTAGACAGGGTGGAATCACTCATTAAACATTTATACCAATATATGTATTGACACTTTATTTTTATATTGTATTTTTTTCTTCTTTTAAAAATAAAATAAATGTGCCATATCTCCTCACCATTTCCCTAGAATAAATTAGGTAAAATTATAAAACCATGAAGTGATTAGAACTATGATTACAAAGTAGGTACTCAGTACATATTTTAAAGCTGACAGACCAATGAATGAATACATGAATGAAAGCCCCTTTATTATTTACTCATTCATTCTAAAAGAGAACAGAACTACCAGGGCGGGGCCAGACTGAGGTGAAGAGCCAGGAGCTTCTTTTGAGTCTCCCTCATGAGTGGCATCTTAGGCTATCTTCTGCTGCTTTCCCAGGTGTATTAGCAGGGAATTGGATTGGAACTGGAGCAGCTGGGATTTGAACCTGTGCTCCTATATGCTGCCCTCTTCGCATGCAGTGGTTTAACTCTCTATGTCACAATGCCAGTCCTGAATGCGTCATTAAAATGTCCCATGCTAGTTTGTTTGATTCTAGGTAAAAGATTCAAAATGTATTTACTGATTGCTTCATCATTAACTTTGTCATCTAATCATTACTTTTCTTCTAATCATTATTTTTCTTCTAATCATTATTTTTCTTGTGTTTTCAGTCTTCTATAAATTTACTAGTTTAAAGTTACAGTATATGTAACCTAATCATGGGCTGATTTTAAATGTAAAGACTTATAATTTCTATGTAGATAATTAATATTTCATTGCCTGCATATTTATCAAGTTAAATTATTTGCTTTTTACTCAAATGATAATCAAAATTAAAAAATCAGGGGTTAGTTGTAAATGATATATACTACATATTTTACAAACATAATTTCTATAAATATTTGCAATAATTCAAACATAATCTTAATAAATTCATATAATTTACAAAACATACATAGTTTACAAACATAAACTTTATAAAATATATAAATATGCATGCATTTGTATGTAACTATATACATAAGCGTGGATCAGAGACTTGTAGCATTGTATACATGGTAAATATTGGTGATAATAAGCATTTCTTGAATATAAAATGCATGGAAGTATGGTTTTGTTTAATGAAACTCATATTCTACTAGTAAGTATCAGAAATTAATAATAATAAATGTTGAGTAAAATGTGTTTCCCTGCCTAAGGCTTAGACAATCAAGGCCTGTTGAGATACTCAGAACTGATTCCACAGCATAGATACAAGACTTGCAAGGTCAAGAAGAGTTAAATAGAAAGATATACACCATAGAGTTTAATGAAGTAAACAAGGTAACGTATCAGGACATAGAATCTTCTATATCATTAGAAACTGATCTCTTATTCTCTTTGTTACCCTTCTTAAATCACATAATACTATTTTATAAGGTGTATGTGGTTTATAAAAATTTGAAATTTATGGCACTTATTGAAATTATATCTAGGGGTTGCCATTGTGGTGCAGTAAGTTAATCCTTTGCCTGCAGCACTGGCATCCCATATGTGAACTGGTTCTGGTTCCCCCTGCTGTTCTTCCAATCCAGCTCTATGCTATGGTCTGGGAAAGCAGTAGAAGATGGCCCAAGTTTTTGGGCCCCTGCACTCAGATGGGAGAGCTGGAAGAAGCTCCTGGCTCCTGGCTTCGGATCCACACAGCTCCAGCCATTTTGGCCATTTGGAGAGTGAAACAGCGGAAGGAAGACCTTCTCTCTGTCTCTGTGTCTCCTGCCTGTAACTCTACCTCTCAAATAAATAAATAAAATCTTAAAAAAAGAAATTATATCTCATATAAGTAAAAGTTTTTTATTTAACATACAAGTATTCGTGGATAAACATTATGTGATTTCCATACAAATATTTTTATTTAATATAGTTTATAGTGAATCTGATTAGCTAACCTACACCAATATAAGCTGTGATTGTTTTTTAGCAATGCAAAGTCTATTTCTACAGAGTACATAGATTTTTATGGAAAAATTATGAAAGAGTATTCCTAAATTACATTTATTTATTTAGCTAGTTATTGCCAGTAAATAAGTTTCTGGATATTAAATATCTACCATAAGAATGCCCTTTTTCTTATTTTATTTATTTATTTATGAAAAATTTTATTTATTTATTTGCTATAACAGCATAACAGAGGGAGAGAGAGAGTGAGAGCGAGAGAGAGAGAGAGGTTTTCCATTTGTTGAGTCACTCCTCAAATGGCTGCAAAAGCTGGACCTGGGTTGAGCTGAAGTCAGGAGCCAGGAGGTTCTTCCAGGTCTCCCACATGGGTACAGGGGCCCAAGCACTTAGACCATCTTCTACTGCTTTCTCAGGCACAGTAGCAGGAAACTGGATCTGAAGTGGAGCAGCCGGGGCTCAAACCAGCACCCAGAGTCCATATTTGCTGCAGATGTTGCAGTGGAGGTTTAACCTACCCTGTCAAAGCGCCGGCCCCTATTTACCTATTTCTAAGGAGAACAAATGTTATGTATTTTATTTATACAGAATTAGGATACTTTCCACTCTACCCTTCCTACTGCCCATGCTCCCACCATCCCTCCTACTTCCTTTCTTATTCTTTCTGTTAATTTTTAATTTTTTTTTATTTGAAGTACACACATTTCATCTATTTCACATGTACAGATGTCATATATAGATTTAGGAATGTAGTGATATTTCCCACCCTACCCCTCTTCCTGTCCACGCTCCCACCCTTCTTCCTCCTTCCTCTCTTATTCACTCTCTTAACTTTTACAATGATCTACTTTTCAGTTTATTTTACACTCATAAGATTAAGCCTATAGTATGCAACAAGTTCAATAAGTCATAAGAAAAAACACTGTTCCTCAGCAGTAGTGACAAGGGCTGTCAACAATCATCAAATCAGGCAGTGCTGTGGTATAGTGAGCTAAGCCTCTACCTGCAGTGCTAGCATCCCATATGGGTGCCAGTTCTAGTCCCGGCTACTCCACTTTTGATCCAGCTCTCTGCTAATGGCCTGGGAAAGGCAGTAGAAGATGGCCAAGGTGCTTGGGCCCCTGCCGTAATGTGGGAGAAGTGCTTGAACTGCACAAAGGATCTGTGTGGTTTTCAGTGTGGACAAGGAACCCTCTGCAATTACTTATCCCAGGCCACCACGGAGCTCTGAGCCTCTGATGCCAGATAGACTGATTGCCCAGAGACCCAGCTACACTCTGCACAGAAACAGTGGGAATAGTCCCACTGTCATGGGGACAGAGGCTCCAATCAGCTCCTTGAGACTACCTTGTCCATGGAGATAGCAAAGACCTTCCCAGAGCCAGCTGCCTGTGGGAACATGGTCTTGGCAGTCTGAGCCCCCAGGGCCTGTGATATATTGAGAGGATGGGGACAGCTCACATCCTGTGTTGTTGCCTAGTCCCCTGTCAACCCTCCCAGCCAGATTCGGTCATTGAGGAACACAAATTTCCCTAAGGTAAAATCCCTTGTGTGGTGGAATGAGAAGGCCATGCCAAGATGACCACTGGCAACAGAAACTGCCTGGCAACAGGCTGTGATTGGATGGTTTCAGAAACCACATGACAATAGAGCCTGACTGGTAACAGGCTGTGATTGGATGACTTCAGAAACTGCCTGGCAACAGGTTGTGATTGGTTAGGGCATAGACCACCCCTTGACCAGATTGGCTGCCTTGGCAATATAAACTGCTGTAGCAACTGAAATAAACGAGTCTGCAGGCTGCTTGCCTCTGGCCCGCTTTCACCTCACTCCCGGGGTCTGTGTGGTGACTCCACGTCTCTTGCCTCCACCACACTCCTCCTCTCAGAGCAAATCCAACTCAACACCCTTGGTCACACAGGTGCCTGCAAGCCACTGCAGCCTCTACTGGTTTCAAGATGTTGCCTCTCCCTGCTAGTTGCCAGGTGCCCTTGTGGAGGTATGGGTAGAAAAAATCTGCTTTTCTTTTACTCGATTAGGTGGGTACCCTGCCCTCCTCCTAGGGCTCCAGGCTGGACTCAAAGTGTGGTTCATACGGTACTCCCTCAGGCAGTCCCTGGCTATGGGAATTATGTATGGTGTTGCTGCTTGCTGTTATGCGTCGGCACTTCCCACACTGCTTCACAGTGTCTATCTTCCTTCTGTAGAATTTCTACTATAAATTTTTCTCCAACACTCTCTTGGGAATGCATTTCCTCCACTTTTATTCTGCTATTTTCCCCTTGTCCAAAGCAGCAGATCTTTTCCCTATTCAGCCTTTTTAGAATCCTCATTTCCTTGATAAAATTAAGTAAGTGATGCTATTACTTATAGAAGTAAATTTAAAAGTGTAAGTCACTCCTGCTTCTTTCATGACAGCTTTTTTAAAATGCTGTGTGTTTAAATTATTATTTTCGGTCCTTTTTAACTACTATAAAAAGAAGTAGGCAGACAGCAGAGGGAGCTCGAGTTACCCATCCCTGTTCTCAGGAGCTGAGACATCATCAACCATTGCATTCATAAGCAGATGTGATATTCCGAGTCAATCCAACTACCTAAGGATGGAAGGAAGCAATAGATTAATTTATGAAGCTTTTCAAGGAGGAGCTGCAGCATAGATTTTCACTATTTTATACAACATTTTAAAAAGATTACTTTGAATGCTCTGGTAGAATGCAAAGGCTTGAGCAGTTTCCAAAACAACTTGGAGTCATGAGAGAGACTGAGTTATAATGAAGAATCCTTTTTGATTTGAGTTTCAGCGTATTTGGTATACATGGTCTATATCTCTCATACATAACAAAATATTGGTTTGCAGTAGTCATACTCTACTGTTATGTAAATGATGAAAGTCTTAACCTTTTTTTTTTCCATTTTTTCCTCTTAACAAAATGACTTTAAATTTTTTCTCTAGAATGAATGCATGTAAAAAAAATAATACTTAGGGCTAAGGCAATCCACTTTGTAACTTGTCCTTCAGCAGTAGCAAAATAGAGACTCCAACATTTAACATATCCTTCATTAGTGATACTGGGTATCTCTTTGAAAAAGCACACCAGGGGAAAAAACAAGGAGAAATTCTGTTTAAGTCTTTTGCCAAAGTTTGTATATCTGGAGGTTCAGCTTTAAATAAGAAAATAATTCCTAAACCTCCTTTTGTGGCTTCTTAAAAGTGCTTATTGATTGCATGTTTGTAATGCCCATGTTATATAAAAGATATCTGTTTTCCATGAATATTTAATGGTCTTCAGCTTTGTTTTCTGATGTTATTTTCTCTTTCTTCATTGGCATATTCTGTCATAACAAATGGATAGCATGTTCCTTAGTGGTAGCAGAAAAATAACCACTTTTTTTAAAAATAATACTTATTTATTTATTTATTTATTTGAAAGGCAGAGATACAGAGAGAAAAGGGGATAGAGTGATCTTTTATCCACTAGTTCACTCCTGAAATGGCTGCAACGACCAGGGCTGGGCCACGTGGAAGCCAGGAGCCAGAAGCTTCTTCCAGGTCTCCCACAAGGGTACAGGGACCCAAGGACTTGGTCTATTCTCTACTCTTTCCCAGGCACATTACCAGGGAGCTGGATTGGAGGTGGAGCAGCCAGGACTCAAACTGGTGCCCATATGAGATGCTGGCACTGTAGGCGGAGGCTTAACCTTTTATACCAGAACACCAGCTGCAAAAAAAATCTTTGATTTGTCTTCAACTAATCCAGTCTTGGGACTCTGACAACTCTTTTGGAAATCATTATTTGAAATTCCTGAGTACATTTTAATTACTCTTGTTAAATCCTCATTTAGAAACAATTTTGCAAGGGATTTTTTTAAACAACATAATATTTGAATATATCCTTCACAAATTATGTTGTCCTTATTTTTCCTGTTTAGAATGCATATATCCATACTTTACTTTTCATTAATCCTTTTTTCTTTCTAGTCATTCACCCATTGATAAAATTAATTTAAATATTTAAATATTGAAAGTTTCCTTTTTGTCACTATTTTCATCTAATAATGTGGTTTTTGCCACCTCCACCCTCCATCCTCATTAGTAGTTCTTGCCTCCTCCTAAAACAATCTTCTGTTAAAAAGGAATAGCTTTCAGCTATTGCACCAAATAGCAAATTAAGTTTCTGTGATTATAATTTAAGTACTTTTCATTTCTCTAATGGATTTTTATGACTAGGTAGAATATTTTCAAGTAGGAATGGGGGGATTTTTAGGGGTAAAGATATTATTCCTTGACTGTTTGCTTAAAATAAAAAAAAGGTCATATTGATTGGATTACACACATGCTTTCTTACTATAGAGAGATAGTTGCTCATCTGGAAGAAGAAATATTTTATTTTTAAACAATGTACACTCACTGTGAAGATAAGTCATATGCCTAAAAACGTATACATCCCTTTCAGAATCATTCATTTTAGGAAATATTTACATGCAAATTTTCAGGAGATCATCACTTTTTTTTCTAGCAATTTGTAACAAAATGCAAATATTTTGAAGTTTCATTAGGGTAAGAGCAAGTGGGATAAACAAAAAAAGCGGTTGAAGATATAAAATATAAGATTATCATATATACTAGCACTACCTACTAAGTTCATGATTTTGATATTTCTTAGATGCTTTAACTGTTAGGTTCTTTGTTCATAAAATTCTAAAAAATGTTATGCATTTATAGAAGTGCTTTCAGAAGGTAATGGACAATCTATGAAATACATGACTAAGTATATTTCGACATAACCTCTGGATAAGTATAAGATACCTTTAATTTTTTCAAAGATTTATTTATTTATTTGAAAGACAGAACTACAGAGGCAGAGAGAGGTCTTCCATCCGATGGTTCACTCCCAAAATGGCTGCAACAGCCATCACTGGGCTGATCTGATGCCAGGAACCTGGAGCTTCTTCCAGGTCTCCCACGTGGGTACAGGGGCCTGAGGACTTGGGCCTTCGTCCACTGCTTTCCCAGGCCATAGCAGAGAGTTGGATCAGAAGTGGAGCAGCTGCTACTTGAACTGGCACCCATGTAGGATACCAGCACCACAGGTGGCGGCTTTACACATTATACCGCAGTGCTTGCCTTGCCTTTAAATGTTTATACAAGTAATTATTGTATTTGTACTGGAAAAAGTTTTCATGAATTTTATCAAAAGGGAAAGATGATGGATAGAGATGATAGGTATTTATATAGATATTTGCACAGGTAGAGAAAAGAGAATATTGTATTGAAGTCATTGATATGATACACTAAAAATAATAATATAGATAAGTCAGAAATGTGTTTGGCATTCCCCTGTCCCAAAAACAGTCTTCTGTATATACATGTGTTTTGGAAATAAGGTAATAGAAAGTAGATGTCCTTGTCAGTTACTGAAGTAGGTAGTAAATCCACTTGTAGTCATCAACATACAATCTGTGTTCATTTGCATCCCCTTGAGTTATTCCTATTCAATATCTATGGCTCACACCATGCTTAACCCTGGCTACTACCTCTTCTGTCCTTTCATATCCGTTGGTGACTCACATATAAAAGTTGTACTTGGAATTTGGAATTTCTGTCTTTACTACACTGCAGATTTTTTTTCCTGAAGATTTTATTTTATTTATTTGGGAAAGCAGAGTTATATATAGAGAGAGGGAGAACCAGAGATAGACATAAACAGAAACAGATGAAGAGACAGATAATCTATCCACTGGTTCATTATGCAAATGGTCATAACAGCCTTATCTGGGCCAGGCTGAAGCTAGGAGCCTGGAGTTCTACCTGGATGTCCTATGTAGGTGGTCAGGGCCCAGGTACTTGGGCCATTTTCCTCTGGTTTCCCATGCACATTAGCAGGGAGCTGGATTGACAGTGGAGCAGCCAGAGCTCGAACCAGTGCTTATATATGATTCTGGCAATGCTGCTCCACAAAACTGCCCTCACACTGAAATTTTTTAATATTTAAAATAAAATGAAGAGAAAGGCATTAAAAATATTTCTCCTGGTATTCTGTTCATTTTGAGTAGAAAAGAAAAGGCTTACTGGGATTCGAGATTCAGCAAACCACAAACATATTTGGTCCTAATGCTGCTTTCTACTTGCCTCAGTGTACCGTACTACCAGATTGACATCATATCTTTCGTCTTTGAGCTCAAAGTACCTTTCCAAGTGTATCTAAGCTAAGTTTATAAGCATTTTCTGCTTACTTGTTTGAGATTTAAAAATGTATCCATAAAATATTAAATAATTGGTCAAAAACATTTTACAGAATGAATAATGACTTGCAAATTTACAATAGTATCTTATAGCTTAATTAGATATTTGGTGAGCACATATGTCCCTTAAGCATGAAAAGAATTGAGCACATTGAAAATTAATCCAAAACAAAATGACATTATAGTCTTAAATATTACTTGCAAAAAAAAAAAAAAAAAGCCTAGGCACATTGTGAGTATGCAATAAATATACAAAATTACAGTTGGTAGTTGTAACACTGAAAAATATTTATTCATCATAACTTGGATGTAAGAAAGCAGCAGAAATATGTATTTGATTTTTAACATTGTGCATACTTAAAGAGGGAGAAAATGTTTCAAAGGACTGTGAGATGCCTGCATCCATATTCAAACATTAGTTTGATAATTACTGATATCTTAAAATCTTGTTGAAAATTATAGTTCTGCATTCTACCCATTTTGTAAAAGATGTAAGAAATTGCTAGAGGGGGTGTTTTTTCCTGTCTGCATGGTTTTCAGAGAGTGCATTTGCTCCATATTGATTTATCCGTATGGCATTTGATTATAGTGAAGGGAACTGCATATCCAACACCCATGCACAGCTATGCTAGGAGTTTCCCCTTCATGCTTCTGTACTCTTGATTATCAGACAGAACAGGTGGTTACCATGGGCAGCAAAACATAAGGGAAACTTGTTTAGAGACTGCTGATCGTATAAGCTACTGCAGTCCATGAGGACTTGAGCTGCTGTGCTTTCCTTCGGAAAACTCTAGAACAATTTATGTCTAAACAATTGGTGAGTGCCTGCTTTTGAAATAGATTCTTTTTTCCAACCATTTTGGAAAAGTTTCTTACATGTATGGATCAAAAACACAAAAATCCTAATTTGGAAGCCCTCATTAACACTCAACTATTGAAGGATTGGTACTGTGAAGTCATCACACAGAGATTAAATATTATTTTCTCTCTCTTTCATTCGTTTTCTGAATTTTATTATTTTTACAAAATACCTAATTGAAATAATTAGTCAAGAAACATCTAATTCATCTCTCCATGTAATATATTAATGTCCTTTTCAATTGTTTGGACTGATTATAATTATTCCTAACTTCATTAGTAAACTTTCACTTAATAGAAGAAAGGGGATATAGCAAGAACAAAGATAATGGAAAGATAATAATATAAATATCTTTATTTCCAAAAAAAATCAGTTACACATTTACATTTTTTCATTTTTTTAAACTTTTATTTAACGAATATAAATTTCCAAAGTACAGCTTATGGATTACAATGGCTTCCCCCCATAACGTCCCTCCAACCTCCAACCCTC